ACGTCTACACACCATTTGAAAAAGACGAGTTAAAATGCTCCCGTTAAGGAACTAACAACTCAGACAGTTCAAATAGTAAGCAACAGCCTAATTAAGAAACACCCAAGAACACTCCCACCAACACTGATGGGGTGAACGACTTGTATATAAAAGGAGACCAAACCTCCCTCCCTTCTAGCATTGATCGTGTTGTCTAGTTGGGTCATGAAACGTCTGCAAGAAGACAACCAAGCTCAGGGAGCACCAAGGACCCCACAGTTGTCATTCTCCTCCTCCTCCTCCTCCCCCTCCTCCTCCTCCTCTCTGCAAATCCCACTCTCTCCTACTATTGATGATGTTCTCTAGTTGGGTCATGAAATGTCTGCAAGAAAACCACCAAGCTCAGAGAGCACCAAGGACCCCACAGTCCTCCTCCTCCTCCCCCACTCCTCCTCCTCCTCCTCCTCTCTTCAACCTCCCTTCCCTTCTGGCACTGATGCTGTTCCTCAGTTGGGTCATGAAAACGTCTGCAAGGACCCTCGGAGCACCAAGCACCCATAATCCCACCTTCTCCTTTTCTTCCTCCTCCTCCTCCTCCACCACCACTACACAAACCCCACTCGCTCCCTTCCAGCCCCGATGATGTTCCCTAGCTGGGTCACGGAACGTCCCCCCCCCCCCCCCCCCCCCCCCCCCGCTCCCCAGCCCCCACCCCCCCCCCCCCCCCCCCGATGATGTCCCCCCGCGGGCTCCCGGAACCCCCCCCCCCCCCCGAGGAAAACCTCCCAGCTCAAGAGACCCAACGAGGACCCCACCGTTCAACCCTGAGCTAGAAAACTCTTTTCTGCTTGATCCCCAATCAAGTGCCTGCCCCTCCATCCAACCTCCCCAAGAGGAGGGACTTGAAAGCCTCGAGGGCCTGGCTGAGAACCTCACCAAGCACCCCCACCCCACCTTCACTAAAGCCCCTGCCCTACACCTCACAACCTTCTCCAGCAACCCCCCCCCCCCCCCCCCCCCCCGGCGCGCCCCCCCCCGTCCTCCCCCCCGCCCCCCCCCCCCCCCTTAACCCCGCCGGGGCGTTGCTCGCCGTTTCATCATCTCGGCTTCGCACCTCTTATCCTTTGGGGGCCAAGGGCTGTTTTTCCCGGGGCAGCTGCGGGCGCGTTGTTTGCTGGCTCAGCTGCGCAGCCACCCCGAGCAACTCCAATGCCTTCCTCTTCCCCCCCCCCCCCCCGCCCTTCCAGTTTCTGTTACTTAGCAGTTTCTTCCCTCCTGTCCCTTGTTTACCTGAACCTCTGCGATTTCCCCACAGGTGCGCAAGTACAAGAGCATGATCCTGGAAGATTTGGAGTCAGCGTTGTTGGAGCACGCACCTGCGCCGCAGGAGGTTAACTCCGAGCTGCCCCCGCTCACCATCGACGGGATTCCGGTCTCGGTGGATAAAATGACCCAGGTAACCAACCAAGGGAGGTGGAAACTTGCACCAGGTTGCTAAGAGAGGGAGGGAGCATTCCACGTCTCTGGCCGATTGGTTTTTGATTTTTATTTATTTTTCTCTCCCCCCAGTCAAGCATGTGTGTGTGTGTCTCTCTCTCTCTCTCTCTCTCTCTCTCTCTCTCTCTTTCTCTCTCTCTCTCTCTCTCTCTCTCTCTCTGCCTCTTCTCACACAACTCCTCGGAGGCGCACTTAATTCTGCCCCTCCTGGGAGAGCCGCGGTGATCTTCCGAAATGCAGGCAGTCCTTGACTTACGACGCCAATGCCAGCCCCATATTGCCATTGGCTAAGTGGAACCCTTCTCCAGGGAGTTTTGCCCCACTTTACGGCCTTCCTCGCCACGGTCTTCAAGGGAATCCTTTGCAGGTGTTAAGTTAGGAACATGGTTGTTAAGCGAGCCTGGCTTGGCCCCTGGACTCTGCTCGTCAAACGGTCACCAAAGGGGAAATCACGTATCCCGGCATACTGCAGCCGTCACAAACTTTTTATTATCTTCCTTCCTTCTTTCTTTCTTTCTTTCCTTCCTTCCTTCCTTTTCTTTCTTTCCTTCCTTCTTTCCTTCCTTCCTTCCCTTCTTTCTTTCTTTCTTTCCTCTTTCCTTCCTTCCTCCCTCCCCTCTTTCTTTCTTCCTTCCTTTTTTCTTTCTTTCATTCTTTTCTTTCTTTCCTTCCTTCCTTCCTTCCCTTCCCTTCTTTCTTTCTTTCTTTCTTCCTTTCCTGCTTCCTTCCTTCCTTCCTCCCTCCCCTCTTTCTTTCTTCCTTTCTTCCTTCCTTCCTTTTTTCTTTCTTTCATTCTTTTCTTTCTTTCTTTCTTTCTTTCTTTCTTTCTTTCTTTCTTTCTTTCTTTCTTTCTTTCTTTCTTTCTTTCTTTCTTTCTTTCTTCCTTCCTTCCTTCCTTCCTTCCTTCCTTCCTTCCTTCCTTCCTTCCTTCCTTCCTTCCTT